CTTAGATGGCTAGAGGCCCTGTACATATGTATGGCTACGCTTAAAGACGACAATTGCATTAACAACAAAGACGAGATCATCCTGTCAACTGCATGGCAGGTGCTCGTAGACAAAAAGTTACGTTAATTTAGAACCAGCGAAGGGGCGCATGCGTCAATGACGCCAGCGATACGTACGAGAAAATTCGTAATGATGTTCTTTTTTCAATCAAATTTGAATGGCGTTCGATTGGACATGTTACCTGAGGAAGAACTTCAAGTTCGAAAGCGCTAGTAATACTTCGTTTACAGAGAAGCACACCGGAAACAGGTTCATTGTACGTTGTTTTTTGATAAAAGTTTAATTTTACAAACTCTTATTTTAAATATGAAATATTAAGTCAGGTAGTTATTTGATTTAGTTTCCTTATAAATTTTAGTTTTTTAAACATATCTTAATTTATTGCATTTATATTCTAGGTTTCTTCAGTTCTAAGACTTTCTTTTAACCATTTCATTTGTGCAAAGTAGGTGAATGTTAGAATCAATGGTGCTTTTTTGTATTCACAATCCAAAATAAATTAGTATTCATCACAAGTAGATGATATGGCATATTATTTTCTGATGATGATGATTACAGATATCTTGCTTAGTGTTTGTATCAGTTCATATGAACTTTGCAAGTAATGAGCATTAAATTTAATTTTTTAATGTTTAAAATGCATCATAATATTATTTTGGCTTGAAATTTTGAAAGTAACATTTATAAAAATATGCAGGAGTGTATGGAAATAATGCTGTGAAACATTTCATGGCACTTGGGTTTTTTTTCTAATTTGTTAATAAAAGGCCATAGCAGATATGCATGATGAATCTGTCCTAGTTAGATAATGGGATCAAAAGCATATATTGGTGAATGATCAGTTATTGTTCAATATTGGACTACATTTTTGTGAATTTTGAGGTTATGTACAAAAATGTGTTTTTAAATTTTTAAAAATCAGTTTTTTCCATCAAATTGCAAAATAAAAGAATGTCATTTCTGGAAAAAATGAGGTGCACAACAATGATGGTGTATAGAATTAAATTTTTTGGTGTGAAATTTAAACGGAAAATGTTTTTGAAAAAAGGATTTTACTAGTTTAGAGCAAGATGACAATTTAAAAACATGTTTAGGAATCTTTATATTACCTTATATTATACTATACAAAAAAGTACCAACTTTATTTGCAAAATGCAATATAGTTAAAAAAAAATCTGAAAGCAATTGATAAGGGACTGCAATCAGAAAGATAGTCTTATCATGTCACTTCTATACAAATTTAAAAAAAAAAATCTTTCTATAGTGACCATGTGACATTCTATTATCCAGTCGGAAGTAATGATCTAATGAGTCCATTATTTAGGAAGTGTTATTGCTCATCTAACTAACGTACATACAATTCATCTTTGTTTTATCAATGTGGAATTAAAAAGACACACTATTTTGTCAAAAAAAAAAACACCTAGAGGGAAAAGCGTAAGAGTAAAATTGGTTGGGTAAATTTTAGATCTAAAAGAATAAGAACTGACACCTCTGAAGTCTGTGAAGAATGGCTGTGTCAAGGGCTGCAGAAACAGCATCACAACCTTTTGAATTAAAGAAAGCTCTTCTCAATTCTTCAATCTCTACTTTCTCATAAAAAAAAATATTCCATCATGCTTGATGGGAAATTTCTACTATATAAATAAATTTCAACTGTGTGTTTCCCAACCTTTTTGGATAAATGACACACTTTGAAATTAATAAGATTCCTGCAATGCACCATAATTTTTAAAATAAAAATGGTTAAAATTGTCACAATCTTAATACACTTTCATATGTTATAATTATTTCTTTTGTGATAAATAAAATCAAACATATTGGACCAAAGTATAATTAGTTATTTATTCAACAAAAATTACCAAAAAACTCCTAATATAAGAGCTTATTCAAAATCCTAAAAAACAGTAAAATATTGCTGCGTGCAGGTTGAGAAACAGGTGTGTGTATATATCATATATCAATTAAATACAATGAACAATTTTTATTAAAATTATTTGTTCATAAATACAAAATTAAAAGTCTATCTTTTTGCTATTTTTATACTTTTGATCATTTAATTAACTATTTAAAATTATAGTGTAGTAAAAAATCAAGAGATGTGTTTTATACCACCATGATGAGCCAAATTGTGAAGTGGGTTTGATTTTACCTTGGATATTATCATATTGAACTTCACAATGATGTTTAGTGTCTCCATTTCTGAGACCTTTACCATATCAGAACATTTTGCTTGTTGTCAACAGAACAGCAAATCTAAATTTGTATAAAAAAAATTGTGTTTGTATTTAGTTCTTCTGAAATAAAATTTACTATAATCACATGTAATAACAATTGTTTTGTAATGTAATAATTTATTAGAACTAATAAAATTTTGAGAAAAACATACATTGTAGTTATTAAAACCAAGTTAAAATATTCCAATCCTGCATCTGTTTACTATTCATATTTAACATAAATATATTTTGAAATTATTACTCAGCAGTGAAATTTTTATCCTATGCATGTGATGTTGACTATACAGTAGAGCGTCGTTTATCCGAATCAGTTGGGGACTGGGGTTGTTCGGAAAATCAATATTTCGGATAATCGATTATGTACAAAAAAATATATTAACCTATCCCATGTTGAAATTTTTCTCTGTTNTAGAACAAATTTTCGATTAATAACATATTTTTATTTCATCCATTAAAAAAATTTTATGTTAAAAATATAAAAATGTTACTGATATTTCTGATCAAAATCAATAAAAAAGCTCAGATGATGATACTTTGTAAAAAACAAAAAATGTCTTCATTTAACTGATATAGATATTAATGTCTAATACAATACAGTAGACCCCCCTATAACGTGGGTTCATATAATAAGATTTGTATATTGCGGCGAAAAATTGCGACCATATTCGTATAAAGACGCTAAAAGAGACTCGTAAAATGCAGTAAAATTGGTCGAATCTGGACCAATAGTGGACGAGCAGCCGAACTACTTGCTACAGAGAGTTTAGGCTGGTAAGTTGAGTTTACTATCGTCTGTACAATATATAGGACTAAATTAGGTACTGTAAGTCTAATACAGTACTGTAATTTTATGCATTTCTTGTGAAAAAACATTTCTTATTCAACGGCCATAAAAATTATTTTTATTAATGATGTCTCCAAAGTTCAACGAATTTTTTGAAGAAAGATAACTTATCAGAAAATGCGCCTGCTGTTTGGTGCGCTGCTCCGCGATGAAAACAAGCTTAAGCAATGGCGTCGTCGAATGGTGCCTATTCAGTAAGTAATCCTACAATTTTTTGTTTATAGCATAGTTTATACAGATTATTCCCAAAAAATTACACGTGTTTTGGAAATGTTGAGTGAAATTAGTCTAGAATTGATTAATTTCATGGAAGAAAACCTTTCAAACAGCTATAGTCTGTAAACTGCACATGTCAGGCTGTGATTGGCTCATGTATTTAAGGATTCCTACAACGCGAAATTCTTATAAAGCAGAACGTATGTACTGCGTTATAGGGGGGTCGACTGTACTTTTAATTGTGTTGTTAGGTAATTATTGATTGGAAATAAATTATTTGATTGCTTTAATAACCATATTTCTCTAAAAATGTACTTTTTTGTTAACTTCTGGAACGTAACTCTATATTTTGCATTAGTCCTTTGTTTTGTATGGGACAGATTTGCATAACATATCACTTTTTCAGAACATATTACTGTGTTATAGGAAGGATACCTGTATATTTTTGTGTGTTTACTTTTATCCACATTGAAATCTTTTTATGAAAAGGTATATTTCAATTTTCCATCACTGAAATTTTTTTAAATAAGTTACTCGTGCATTTTTATTATCTTGTTCTATTTTAATTACCCTTTCATTCAACTTACAATATACTTTTATTTTCTATATTTTTGCAAAGTTCCAAATAGCATAAATAAACACTAACTACAAATTAACCCTAGATTACTATTTAAATGCCATCATAATTAAGGTAAACGCACCGGTAGTGGACACTGTGTTAGTAGTGGACACTTTGAACTTCAAATATGAGTAATAAGGTTGTTGATGGCTTCACTGTTCAAACATACAAATCATTCAGTAGACAGAACCCTCTAGTGGTGGTAACTCGCACTGATCCTTTTCTAATGCATCATAGGATGTTTTCCCGCGCTCATTAGTGATGGCATTCCTGCTAATATAAGACGACAAGTGAGTCTGCTGTCTGTTTCCTTAAGGTCTAGGTAATTTAAATCATGCTTGCTGTATTAACAGTTAGTTTCACGGAAGTTTTTTGGGGATATACTATTAATATGAGCTTCGTTGGTATGTTTTAAGACCTTCCTGATAGTATTTTTATTTTCCAAGTCAATTGAATGAGATGTCCACTAATGAAACAAAAATATCGTATATTTTTAGTAGTGGACAAGAGATGGCCACAACTAGTGAAAATGAACTTTTCACTTTTAATCAGTATCAAGTCAAAAATTAAATCACCTAATGTTAAAAAATATAAAAACAATAAAAAAATTATACTTCAGAAGTTAATTTAGTATCAAAAATGTAAAATATTTGAGTAGCCCAAGGCATAGCCAAAGATTGCAGTGCCACAGCACTGGCAAAAATTTAAATTTGCCGACTGAAATTCTTTCGGATAATTGACTTTCAGATAAATGATGCTCTACTGTAATTACAAATCTGGTCTCTTATTATTTCATAGCTTCAGGCAATTCAAAAAATATGAGAACAATTAATGATTTCATAATTATCAATTTTTAATTCTTTAAATATTAAATTTGATTTCCAACTTTGATAACTTTTAAAGTCTTAATAAACATTATTGAATATTAATTTGAGTAGACAATGATTCTAATATTGATTACTTTTTGACTTTTTAAACATTATTTCAAGTATAATTAAATTGTCCAAATTTTTTTTATTTGTAGGTTTTACATTCATGGGGTCTCAACTGTTAGTGGAGCCTTCTGTTCCTCAGAATAGAAGGTAAGTTCATTTAAAATTTTTAAGTTAGTAGGCTTAACTCAAATTTGAATAGAAGCATATCTGGTTTTGATGATTGAGTAATAAAATAGTATGCCCATATCTATATACATCAGTTGTATAGTTAATATTTAAACTTATTATTTAGTATGACTGACTTTTAAAAAGTGCATTAAAATAAATGGTATCTGATAATCTAAAGCTCAAAATAAAATTTTATGGATATTAATTTCATAAATAGATGTTAAAATTTAAGATTTACCTAAAATTAGCAATGTTATAATTTGCTGGGACAACATTGTGCCTCCAGTTTGGATCTATGTTTGTTCCTAAACCTGCAACACCTAATCTATTCTGTTATACTTAACATGGAGAGATTACTATCATTTGTAAATAATAAATGTCCTGACAACCTCAAGGAATATCTTAGATGGAATGCACTATTCTCTATTGAAGAACATAAACAAGAGCCTAAAGTTAATAAATTCTGGAATGACATCAAATGAAGTAAAAATTGGCTCATATCCCAAGCCATCACATTAGTCAAGGCAGTCATGATCATGAAAAGGACCACCTACATTCATCTGTTACAGCAGTACATAGTGGATACGCAATGTCAACTTGCTGAGGCCTCATGTATAACAAAACTACAAAATTATGTCAGTAGGTTAATATGCAACTAGCCTAGCGATGGCACTAGGCCTACAGCACACAATAGTCAGCTCTCCTGTCACCCCTTGCCTGTTTGCCTTTGCAAAAACACAAACCAAGTCAACACTTTATGTCCCATGATTGATAAAGCTAGATCCCCAACATTTTTGCTGGAAAATCAAATTCATCATGTGTTAAAGTGCCACCTTCAATTATTATATATATATACATACATACATGATCTCCAGTTCAGGTGCACTTCTATCCAAACTTGCTGCTATTAATTTAAGTGGGAACAAATATCTCACTGTGTTCAATTTTGTATTCATGTTTCCATCTATTTGTTTAGAACTATGTTTTTGTGCTTTAAGAGGTTTTTTTCTAAGCACTACTGATGCTCAAACTTTCCACTCAGATATTAGACCTAGCACACATGCTATGCTATTCCTCATGTTTTTACTTTGATGAGCACACTTACATACGAAAAAAGAGGGGTACCTATGGGCAGCCTCATTTCGGGTGAACTGGTACAACAATTGGAGGAGCAGTCCTTAATAAACTTCAAACATACTATTCTCATGTATACCTGATACATTGATGACATTTTGATTATATGGAGAAATAGACTGGATGTTGAAGATGTGTTAAAAGTTTTCAATAATAACTATGTATTAACACTAAAATTGGATCAAGAAAGCCACATAGATGTTAATTTCTTGAATGCCAGGATTCACATAGTGGATAATAAGTTCAACACCACAGTGTATCTTAACATCGACGAAAATTCAACATGACGTCACAGGCAACAAATAAAAATTTCAACATCGAATAGGTTAAAGGAAATTATACATTGCTTAATGTGTGTGACAGCTGATGTTCGGACAAGTTTTAAAAATTTTTTTTTAATTACATGTACAATGTGGCAACATTCTATAAATAGAACAGTTATTTTTGTTTGATTTTTCCTGATGAAGGCCGATTAAAAAGTGGCCAAAAATGTTCGAATGTTGAATTTGGGTGTTTTGCTGGAAATTTGACGTTTAGGTGAGAGTTTATATGTTGGATGGTGGTTTAGTTTTAAGTGATGCAACTCAAACAAATTTGTAAATTCACAAGTTGGATGAAATTGAAACAAAGTGATTGCCAGTTACTATTTTTAACTTCTATCCAACAAATTTACATTAAATGCAGAACAAGAAATAACTTCTTTGTAACATTTCATTTCTTCACAAACATACTGTACTGTTAACAACCTTTAAAGTCCAGTAACAAAAATTTTTAATAAACTTTTGACCAATGTTTATTAAAAATTTTTGTTACTGGACTTTAAAAGATGTTTACAATTAGAGTTGCCAATTTAGCGACGGAGATTTTTTACTAAATTTAGTTACATTTTAGAGATTTTCCACAAAATCAAAAAATTTCATAAAACTATTAAAATTTAATAAATTTCTTCATTTATATTATCTTTAATGTGCAGTAATTATGTGCATGAGTTGCAAATATTATTTTTAATAAGTGGCAACACTAACCAGTGCTCAAGTTTCTTTGGGAATCCTTATAAGTTACTAGTGTTGCCACCTTTTCAAAATCAGTGACCCGGACGGGAGGTCAGGTTTGTTCAAACAGAATTTCCTGACGCATGCGCAATGTCATTTTACAATGCTAAGAATAACATGCATGCAAATCAGTTACAGTGTACAGATAATTTAGCTCTATTTGAGATGTGTATGAATGTACATAAAAAAGAAAGGTTGACAGGTTGCTGCGTGCCACACGTCAGTGTAAACACACTAACATGGCAGAATTGCAAAGGAGTTTCAGTGAGTGTGAGTTCTTTCATTGTTAAAATAGTATAAATTTGTAAAAATATTTGCAGAACTTTGTTTCATCGTAATTTCACAATTTCTACGAAATTCCCGGAAAAATTAATAGTTCACCCGGACAGTGAGTCAATTCCCGAACTGTCCGGGTGAAAACCGGACGGGTGGTAACACTATAAGTTACCTATGAGTAACCAAGTGTTTTAATATAGTGTCAGTTTGTGATAATATTATACTATTATCGATATTGCAATTTATTATTTATTACCCTTATATCAGTGAAAATGCCAAATGAAAGAAGATACACTCAAAAATTTCAAATAGAATGGCTATGTGATGATAGGTATAAAAACTGGTTGCAGGAAATTGAAGGAAAAAATACAAAGTGTCTCTGCAAATATTGTAACTGCATTTTGATAGCAAAAGTAAGTGATTTAGAAAAGCATAGGAAAACTCAAAAACATATGAAGCCAAACCATCGTTTAGTGTTCAGTGGAGTGCAAATACTCTTCCATTTATGAAAAGCTCAAATGTTCATAGAACAAAAGGAAAAATGGTGCTTTTTGTAGTGGAAAGTTGTCCTATAAGTCATGTAGACAAACTAACTAAATACTGTACAACAAATTTTTCAGACAGCAAAAGTTGTAATAATCTGACTCTTGGACGAACAAAATGTTAAGCCATAATTTCAAATGTTTTTTAGCACCATACATTAAAGAAAACTTAATAGTTGATATAGGTGATAGCAACTGTAGTTTACTAATTGATGAAAGTAATGACATATCAGTTTCCAAGCTTTTAGGTATTGTAATTAGATATTACTCTCAAAATAAAAAAATGCATAACTACTAATTTTTTAGATTTAGTATCACTTAGAGTGCAATGCTGATGCAATTTGTGAAGCAATTAAATTTTCCTTGAGAAATAATGCCTTGGATTTGCATAAACTCATTGCAGTTGGAACAGATAATGCTTCTATAATGATAGGAAGTAATAATGGCTTATATGCTAAACTGAAAGCCATTCATTCATTACAGTTAGCTATTTTTCATGCTACAAAAGACGACCTTCCAAGAAATATAGAATTTCTTATTAAAGAAACATTTAATTGGTTTTCTCATTCTGTGATTACACAATCCAAATACAATGAACTCTATTCTTTGATGAATGATGGAAATGAACCATTGAAATTAGTACAATGTAGTGAGACTCACTGGATGTCAATTCAGACCGCTATTGATAAAATTTTGAAATAATGGAATGATTTTAAAGGCAAATTTTAATTTGGCCAGAACAAACGAAAGATGTTATATGGCAGAAATTTTGTTCTCAATCTTTGATGATCAAAGAAATTTCTTATTTCTTTTATTTCTTAAACCTGTACTTGATGAAGTTCAGATTAAATAAAATATTTGAATCTGAGAATAATGATCGTATGAAGTTGCTACGAGACTTGCTAAATTTAATAGAATCTTGTTCTAAGATGGTTATTCCAAGAACAAAAATAATAAATGATGTAGTGATATAAAACCATTTAGCACTCAATCTATATTTGGGTTATCAGTTTGAAACTGAAATAAACAATTCTGCCCTGTTAGATGACGAAAAGAAAAATATTTGTAGTCACTGCATTGTCTTCCTTTTGTCTCTTATAAAACAACTTCAGCAAAGGTTACCTGACAATACATCAATTTTGAAAACCATGATGTCACTAGTATTGTCTCAACCAAATTAGAAGTGATATAATAAACCTTGCAAAAAGTGATATAATAAACTTTGTTTTTCACTGATGATGCAGTATTAACTCGCATTGACTTTCAATGGAGGAAAATCCATGAAACTCAATGGAAAGGAACTTCTAGCACATTAAACCTGTGGATGAAAGTAGCTCAATACCAAGATGCTGCCAGAGAAAATCCCTTTCAATACTTGGTCAGTTTTGTTTCAAAATTTTTTATTACCTCACTCAAACACAGAACTAGAGCATTTGTTTAGTCAGATGAATATTGTTAAAACCAAACTGTGGAATAGATTGATTATTATTTCATTTCGTAGCATATTAACGATTAGATATGGTTTGAAAAGATTAGGGAAATGCAACTATGATTATGAATTGCCAGCAAAATCATTTGAAAAATAGGCACTATATAAAATTATACCAAAATTTTCAGTTTGAAGCAGGACCATCTTTTGAACATAATGAAGAAATTGAAGGAGTAATGGAATTTAGCAACGAATGGACTTTTTGAATAAAGTTAAAAATAAGTTAAAAATTGAAGGTTGGTTTTTATTTTTTGTTTAGCTATTTTTTTTAGCAAATTTTGAAAATTTTTTAGCTATTTTTAGAGAGTTTTTCCTTTGCTTTTAGCTACTTTTATTTTTTTGAGTTGGCAACCCTATTTACAATGTGTTTGTGATTCATTCCAGTATTAAGAAGGTAATTTTAATCATTTCTTCATAGAAATCATAATTCAAAAATGCTGAACAAATCAAGGAGCCTCATAGGTTTACTCAGATTGAAAGTTTTCAAAATGATATACAGTACATCTCAGATCCACAGCACAAAAACTGACAAAATGAAACAGAACAATGTAATGTGTTGGAAATAGAACAAACCTTTTTAAGAAGCATTCAGATTTCAAAAATTTTTTGAAGAAACAAACTATGATATACTAAATATAAGATTTTTAAATATAACTTAAATTTAAAAATTATGAAATCCAGACTTAATTTTATTACTTTTTTTAACTAACATTAAAATGGACTAACATCTCAATGTCTATCTGAAAACCTTTTCAATGGACTGACATTAATAACCATACTATATGTATCAAGTGCTATTTTATTCAAACTTCTTATTGAAATTGGTTCTATTGGCAATAGTTAGATCTTCAGTTGCCCTTAAATTAAGGAAATGTTGTTAGAATGAGTTACAAATAGTTTTATCTTGTGAAATTCTTCATATGATTTCTGCTTGCAAAAATAAGCAAAGGATGTTTCTGAAAGGAGTTAAATTGCAGCTTTGAGGGCTTTATTAATTATTTTCAGACTTTTCTGAAAGTAAATTTAGTCAAATGTCAGTTATTGTTCCTTATTTTGACATTTGTTTGAAATTTAGATAGGAGTGAAGAAATAAAACAATTTAACTTTTATTTTTAATGTTAAAGATTTGTTTTTACAAGAGCTTAGTAATTGACAATTTCAGCTTTTAAGAAAATTCAAACTTGAACATCTGAAATTAATTAATTACTGTAGTTATGGTTTCTCAACAGCTGTTATATAATACAAAAATTTTAACATTTAATATTTTATTAATATTTTTTTTTAAAACAATTAAATTTTGGGAATATTGTTTATCTTAAAAGTATCATTCATATTAAACAAAATTTGCCATATAGAAAGGAAAACAATTTTGTATTTAAAACATTGAGAGAATCTCTATTTTGAAGATATTTGTAGGTTGCTGGAGATGGGAGACTAACTTTCCAAAACATTTCAGCAAAGTAATAATTAGTCTTATTGTTTTTATTATTGGATATGATTAAAATAATACTATTGTTCAACTTTGAAACTTAAATTCATTTTTAAAATGTTCTTTGCCTTTAGCATTTTTTTAAATAAGGACTTATTATACTTGTAGTATGGAAGGAAGAAAAAACTTCTAGGTTATTCCCGTTTTTCTCTTTATTAATTAATCCCAAATGTATTTTGAACATTTTGTGGTTGTTCCTCAGTAGGTACAAAGATAAATTTTTTTAAGCATAAAATAATATAACAATAATCATATAAATTGATCTGAAAACTGATATTTGCTTTACTGCAAGTAAAGCAAATATCAACAATCCAATTTATGTAAATCTTCGTGTACCAAATTTGGTACTTGAAGATTTACATTTAATAAATGATGATCTCGGGTCAAATACAGGTCTGATGCTAAATTGATGTGATTATTCTGTTAATTTTTTTTGTGTTAACGAAAACACAAAATCAAAATAACATATCAAAAGACTAATTTTTTATTTGAAAATAGCCATAAACTCCAGTCTGCACAGTCATTCACAAAAAGTTTTTCATACTGAAAAGTGTTTTTAATTATTGTTAATATTTTTATCAACAATTCATTATAGTTTAAATCATGAGAAGAAAATGTGAAGTAAAATATGGATTTTTGAGAAGTCTGAAATACTGCATGCATGCCTTTGGGTATAAAATGTGCTGACCCAGTGTTTGTCAAATTCACCTTCTGGTGGATTTTCTCAATAAAGTGGACTTTTGACAAACCCTTTCCACTAGAATATTAATTATTAAATTAATAAAAAATGAGTATTTTTATATATATTTCAACATGTTTGCTTTTAAAAATTTGTTTCCAATACCCTATACCCTGAGAGGATTGTTCCACTAGTCTTCCAATGGCCTTAATCTACAGCAGTTGGATTCATTCTTTTCTGGAATCTTACAATACATCCAACCAAGTTTCTAGATGTAATTCTTTCATCTAGTTCTTGTCCATCTTCTTAATCTGGGTCCATATATTTATTTTTCAACTTAGTCACCATTAAGGCTAACACATTTCTCTCAACGTGTAACAAGTTTTTTTCATTCCGTCACTGAAAAATTCTTCCGACTTTTCTCGAATCCAGGACTTGACAGCTGCCTTCACCTCATCGTCCGAGGTGTAATGATTACCCTTGAGGTCTCTCCTGAGTAGAGGGGGAGAAATCGCAAAGTACAAGATTGGAGGAATAAGGAGGACGTGGAATCGGTTCAAACTTTAGATTTCGCATAGCCTCTCCAGTTTCGTACTAGGTGTGTGGACAAGCATTGTCATGTTGCTTGTCAAGATGCATTGTCAATATTATTGTCACCAGGTGATTATTTGATGTGTTAGAGGCAGCCTGGTGCCAATAAAGAAAAAAAAAAAGTTAGGAAGGTTAGAAAGGTTGGCAAATAGATGAGGTTAAATACTTCTCTAAGTGCTAATGTCTTGGATTGAACATTGTTTTTAAGAAATATACACACACTGATTTGAACAAAGAATGTTTTAATACAGTAAGTGATCAGTTAATGAACAGTTCAGATAGAGAACAAATCGGATAATGAACTCTTTCGCGAAAGATTTTTATGATCAGATAATGAACACTTTACTGAACAAATATAAAAACAAGTGATGGAAAATAACGAATACCAATTGATTTTTCCCTTGTCTTCAGGTAACAATTTGAAACCTTTCAGAACATGGGAGATGTTAATATCAATGTGCAACCCAATACTAATCAGATAGTATTCCTCCGAATTTTGAAACTCTCTTGTAATTTCAGCTTTTTGTTTACCTTTCTGACAAATAATTTTTTTTATAGTCTTTGCGAGACTGTTGTCAGATGGGCACTTGTGAAGTTTTGCGTCGGGGTTTATTTACGAAAGGTGAAACTTTAACTGTCCCATCAGATATTTGTTAATGTTTTAATACCAAATTTCAAATTTCATTCGGGACTTGGATTTAAATAATTTTTTGTGGGCTAGTTGATTTCTGTTTTTTGAATTTTTATAAAAGTGCTTTTCTGAACTTTTTGTTTAAAAAAGAAACTGATAATATTATGGAGCCTAAAAAGAGGAGTGTTGAGAACTGTGCTCATCGAAGAAGCCAAGTAAGAGATAATAGCTAAGGTAGAAAGTGGGCACAAGATGTCTGATGTTGCTAGGCAGTATGGCTCAAATAAGTCTACAGTAGGCATATCTTTCATAGCTAAGATTGTATCAAGAAGTCTGAATCTGCTAATGGAGTAATGAAAATCACATCTGAGAAATAAAGAGCATTTTAATTCTCACAATGGAACCTGAAAACTGATCTGACGACAGAAGAACTCCAAGAACTCTTAAATGAAGAATACCAAGAAATTCAGCGAGATGTGTTTTCCTTTGAAAAAGAGGAAGACGAAAGAGGACCAATGTCAACATCTGCTACCTACTAAAGATCTCTTGAAGAAGTGGGAGGTGTCAGAACAATGATCATCCAAGTGGCATCCAAACCAGAATAAGGTTAATGGGATTGGGGATCTCTACGATTACAATACTATTAATTAATTCCGAAAAATCCTGAAGAAAAGAGAAAAGCAATCAACATTGGACAGATTCTTTAAACCCCACAAATGAAAAAACATGACTAATAAAAATGCAAGATATATATGTATTTTTACTATTACATATAAATAAACATAGTAAAAAAGTGTGTTTTTATTTTTATTTTTTGGAGTCTCTGGAATGAATTAATCACATTCCCGTAAAAACCTATGGTAAATCAATAATCGGTTAACAAACAATTCGGATTACGAACAAAGTTATGGAACAGATATTATGTTCATTAACCAATCACCCATTGTATTTAAAATCAAACTCCTAATATATATATATTAGGAGTTTGAACAAAACCATTTTTCGAATTCTTTGTATTTTTGTAAAGTTCAAATTGATGACATTTGTGCCTTGAAAAATATACAATTGCAGTTAATTGTCAGCTTCTCTAATTTAATTAGCATTGTTTTTCAGCTTTTTAATTAGTTAATAATGAGAATTATATTTGCTGTTAAATTTTCATTTTTATAATTATAAATTGTTTTAAAATTTTTATATTAATTTATTTGTGTTTTTAATACATGTTTCCTATATTTTAAAATTTAATAATTTAATTTTTTAGAAGTCGTACAAATAAAGTACAGGTAAGCAATATACCTGAACATGTCGAATGGGAAAATGTGAAAAGGCTTTTATCTACTTTTGGAAATGTGCAGCAATGTGATCAAGGTATGATGTAATTTAATCTTTTTGAATTTTAAAATATAAGACCAGAAATTAATGCTCTTTGACAGTACTTTTCAAACTGAAATGGTGCACTAATATTTCTTCCTGTGTTGTGTCAGGTTCTTGTAATTTGTACCATATTTTATTCAAACAGGTACAGTACATAATGTTTGAACTACACCAGTATAATAAGTCCTATTAGTAAACAAGATTTGAGTAGACAATATAAAAACGAAAAAGTGTGACTAGAGGGTCAGCACATCTTTGGTGCCTCGTCAGGACTGACATCACCATGTTATGTTGACCCGGAAGCCGCGATGGCGAGTTGGCTTATTTTTAAAAGTAGGTCACACAAGCAGTTGTGTATGGTGTGATCGGATTCAGATGGAGGCAAGTGAGACAGCATTGGAAACAAGATACTCAGATACTTGGTTAACAAAACAAATGCCCATTTATTTTTTGTACTAGACCTACAGGCTAACAGTAGCAAGACAATTAGACATTGGATATGAGTGTGACAAGGACCCGTTCGCGCACGAGAGAGAGAGCGTATACATGAATCGTGCATTGTTATAAATACCTGGAATCTGGAGAGAGCTGCTTTTGTACAAGATGATTGCTTGACAGTCTTTAGAGTATTTTATACTTGAGAGTTCGGGGCACACTGGGAACAGTTTGAAGAAAGGTGTATCAGACAGAAGTAAGAAATTTCCTTGGGCAGAGGACGTGATGGAGGCGAATCAGAGATGATGATAATTCCTTATCGGCAGGAGATTGTATTTGGTGTTCTTATAGAGAGAGACAGGGTTCTATATCCATGGTGAAATGGGCAACGACACCTTCCTTCAGCTATTAAGATATTAAAATCAGTAATGCACGACTGGGAGGTCAAGGGATCAAGGGAAAGCATTGCTTTCACCACTGAGAAAATGTAACTCAAGATGTTCTTGGGTAGTAGAGGACAACAGTTATCAAATAGGTATGATGAAAGCGACAACTGATTTTTGTTAAAGTCAGATTCTCAAAAAAGTAATATATATTTTAATGTGGTAGGACAAGTATTACCTCCAAAGAAAGGGGGGGGGCAACCAAGATGGGATCACTTGCCTCCAGTGACTTTGCAGTGCTAATTTCAAAATGAGTAGAAGACACTTAAATTAAAACATATAACCAAGGATATCAAGCTTATTTTACATTTTGGCCAATTTGTTGTTGGTATGGCAAGATCAAACAAAGTGAACAAGTTTGTTAACCTCATTAAACTGTCATCATGTGTATGCTCACTTGAATATAAATTACACATTGTGGATAATCCAGCACCAAATTAAAAAATTGATTGATAAATATTTAGTGTTGAAAAAAAAACATTATTTTCACTTTAATCTAGCTTTTCTAATTTTCTAGTTGAATTCAGTCAAAAAAAATTGTAATTTAATTATAATTTATTGAAGATTTTAATTCTTTAATATTAGAAGGTAATTATCATAAATTACATGGTGTCGTGTTTCATCTTCACTTCCACTCAAGTTTATTGTCCTAGACAGGTGCCGATGTTTATTTTTACTTCTACTGGAGTTTAGACTTAGGCTTTTATTTGAACCTTGACTACTTTGGTTACACAAGGTGGGGAGATGGGTGTCATGTGATTGCATACCCGATTTTATCAGCAAATTTTCTTACCTTGAAAGTTTCATTTATTTATTTTTCCTGATTTTAATTATATAAGAATCCATCAAAAAATAGTTAAATTTCATAGTATTGTCTGAAGTTGCAGATAGTTTTTTTTAATTAAGTTTTACTCGTATGTTTTTTAAAGATTTATATATATGGCAATTCTTCATAGCACTGTACTTTTTTTAAATCTATGTTTGTTTTGTGTAATTTTGGAAAAAATATAACGTCATAGATGCTATAGGAAATATCGACTTCACTTAGCAAGAATTAACTGATAAATGCACAAATGAAGTGTGGAAAAGGTTATGGCTGAAGGTATCCAAGAATTCTCAATTAGAAGAGCCTATTGCTGTATCATTAGGTTGGCCAAACTGTCAATGTAATCGATACAGCAGGACTAGGAGATGTAAACAAGGAAGAGGGTACTGCGGGTTTCTGGTGAGAGGCTTACCAACAATGACCTTCAAGAACGAGCAGAACAAGAAATTCATGTAGAACTGGAAAATAGATTCTGAAAACGGAGAACCCAAAAAATTTCTATACAGATTTCCTCTGTAAAAGTTTGGGTAACAATAACCAAAATCGTTGATCAAATTGTAGCAAATGATCCAGATTTTGAAAGGAGTGCAAAAGCAAGACAAGGCATTTTGGATGCAATGTGCTACCTACATTTGCTTAAGGAAAGAAAAACGTGACAAATGTAACTACACAACTTTATTGCAAAAGAACAAGAATTTCAGAAAAGTCAGGACCTTTATCACAAGAAATGAACTTTACATTTATTTGTGCATATGTTTGTGTTATTTAACATATATTATTATGCAAATTAATATAATAACAACTTAAAATTGAAGTAAAATTTGTTTATTTTTAATCATGTGTTCCCCTTTCCCTATTTCCTCTGTTAAAATGACCTTGTTTCATGCCGTTTCGTTTAGCGCTTTGTTGTCTAGGAATGCATCTCTCATGTTAAGCAGGATCTTATTGTACTAAACTATAAGTACAGGTAACCCCCGTATAACACGGCACTTCTACAGCACGGATTTGCTCTAACACGGTTCGAGAATTGGTACCATCCCCCGTATAACACGGTACTTTTATAGCACGGATTCACTCTGACACGGTTCGAGAATTGAATAAAACCCTCGTACAACAGGAAATGTAATAAATTTTTACGTACTTAATAATTTTCGTGAACTATTATTACTTATTTTCGTGAACTATCAGTACTTAAGTATGTAAATTTTCTCTTCTCGCCTTCTGTCGATACACGTGGTCCTTCTCGAAACTTGTTTCAATGTTGCCAGATCGCGACGCTTCTGCTTCTGATGTTGCCGAATGTTTTTCCCTTATTCCATACTTGCTTTATTCTTCATAAGTG